ACAGCCAGGCGAGCCGCCTCAGTAAGTCTTCCCTCGGCTCCGGATCCAGCAGCGTCTCGTCCAAGAAACGTGTCACATTCGCAGTCTCGCCACTGCTTGCATTCCGGCGCAGACGGCACAATCACGCCGTAAGTACCTTAGTGACGTACTTCGTGCATGCAGATTTAGGATTGATATGCCTTCATGAAAATAGATGCCACGCCAGCTTTATTCGATAGCTAGATGCTATGGAGTTACAGAACGGTGGAATTTGTTAGCTCAATAGACAGGCTTGAAAACAAATGTAGTAGACTCTAGTAGGAGTAGACTAAAGATTCTGTATGTTCTTACGAAAGACATGTTGCGTATGGTATCTAAACGTAGAGGTTTGCGGAGGGTGCACTAGTAGTAGTTTACACAAGATACGCGGTGGATCGTAGCTAAAATAACAAGATTAGAAGATCCCTTATTAACAGCCTGAACAAATTTCCGTCGTGAGATTAGTTCCAGGGGCCTGTCGTCAGTCGGCTTCGGAATTAAAGTCGGAAAATTCCACTGAGCGAACATTTAGCACCCCTGACGGCGCCATTTGCCACACCTCGCTCTCCGTTCGGGATGGTTTGCAGCCTGAAATGAGCCCGGTTCCAGGGAACCTCTGGACTCCCTGACCCCCGCCAGACCGGCCGCATACGTCGGGTAACAGGAGACACCATATAGGCGCACACCAACGTTCACCCATTTCACGACGAGGTGACCTCGGGGAGGCATTGACACCGCTCCGTTTGTTGGCAATCCGATGGAAGCGCCGAGATGGGAGCCTTCCGTTGTCGCTCTGTGAGCTGATTGGTTGTCTTTGGCCGCCGACCGCGCAGGAAGAGCGGGCAATTGGAGTCGGTAAGCAGTGAGGTGTTACGAGATACGTGTGGCGTGTGGTGCCGGTGCCGGTCTGGATATTCCAGCTGGCCCATTCTGGGCTAGTCGGTACCCCGCGCACGTCGGACTAGACCAGACGCGGAATGTGGATAGTTCCTGGATGAGCCTGGCGGCGTGATACAGTGATACAAACTTACTGAAAAGGATTTTTCATAAATCATTCAGCCTTTAAGATTCGTGCTGTCAGTCACCTTTACCCTTTCCATTAAACAACTAGGAAATAACTGTATATGGCTATATAATGTCAAATGGAATAAAACTGAACTTCTTCCTTACTTGACTGATGGCCACAACTTAGCTCCAAATCCGTATCACCTTTGACGTTATCCTGCTGAGTGAATCACAGCCATTTACCTTGATACCTTTGTGCGATGGAGCGCCATTCAGGTGGACAAAGCCGCCTCCCCTCCCCACCAGCCCCGGGGGTGACTCACCTGGGCTCGTGACACCACGTATCGATCCCGGGACCCTTCCACAAACCACGCATTACCGGTGTGTGCCACTCGACGAGGTGACACCCACGCCACAGCTGGACGAGCTCGTCCGTCCACAACTCACCAACTCCGGGCCATTGCGTGGGAACGCCTGGCCCAACTCGTATACGAGCCAGGTCGGTAGGGCGAGCGATAAATAAATTCCACAGTCGGTGAGTCGTAAGGTTTCATTACCGAGGAATGCGACCGACTTTGTCACTTTGGCCGCTCGAGTCAGCAGACAAGCTATCTGCTGTGAAACAAGCGTGGAACCCGGCCGCGGTTCGGTTAAGTGGAATGCGTGCGGGCCGGGCAGTAGACTCGGAATACCCAAAAATAGACGCAGACACGCCAGTAGGGACTAGATTTACACCAGTAGCCTTGGCAGTTGGGCCATAAACAGCGGTGGTGGGTACTTATCCCAAGGCAATAACGTCAAAACATTATTGACGAGTAATGCAAATGATAAGGATTAAGAATGCAATATTCAAGTCCAACTGTATGAAGTGATCTGTGAAATGTCAGCTACATACTAACCAGCGTATTGTCATTGCTGTATGCACGATTATCAAGAAAATGATACATGATCATTATTAATTTACTTGGTCAGAATGTCATCATGGCTCGGCTTTTGTGCATGGCTTCGGTGCATTATGCGTGCTGGTTCAAATCGTAGACAGAATCGATATTCAGTCCAGCCACACCTTTCAATTAATGCTATCATTAATCAAACGCAAATGGTTCCTGTGACCTCCAAAGCGGACGGCAGCTGGCTTCCTACGTTAGCAGCGCTCCGAACTGACATAGCGCGTTCGCTCTGACTCGTGAATGGGAGTCTGCAACTGCTATCCTGACCAGGTCATCTGTCCTTTGGCAGGGGCTCACGTCATCTCCGGTGCAGGGGAGCAGGCCGGCCCGGCGCGAGCAGACCGCCAGCGAGCAACCAATCAGAAGAACCGACAGCCGCGGCAAGGTCAGTAAATCAGCCAATGAGATCTGAGATTCGTAGCGACTGAGACGGGCGGGACAAAAATACAACAGAAAAAATAGCGATAAAAATTACGGGGAGAGAGAGAGAGAGAGAGAGAGAGAGAGAGAGAGAGAGAGAGAGAGAGAGAGAGAGAGAGAGAGAGAGAGAGAGAGAGAGAGAGAGAGATAGATAGAGAGAGAGAGAGAGAGAGAGAGAGAGAGAGAGAGAGAGAGAGAGAGAGAGAGAGAGAGAGAGAGAGAGGAGAGAGAGAGAGAGAGAGAGAGAGAGAGAGAGAGAGAGAGAGACCTCGGCTGTGAGAGTAGACGTCAGAAGAAGCTGCGGACCTCAGCCGCGGTTCCAGTGACCAGCCCGGTCAGCCACCGCCGAATCTTATCGAGCTGGTCGCACGGGGGCCGGCTGTGTCAGCACAAGTTTCCTTTATAGCAGTCTGGGGAGCGGCTGGAAACCACAGACGCGGTTTTGCCGAAACTTTCGTCGTGCTTCAACCCTGACAAAGTTACTTTTGAGCTCCAGCACACTTCGGGACAGATGCAGCCATCGTAGAGCGTGTTCTCAGGCAGTTGACCGCCGGATATTTGAGAGGCTTCTGTCCGATTCTCTCTCGAGTTGGGCCAAGTTGTGAAACATGAACGTCTGATTTTCGTTATTTGTCTTGTTTATCACTTCGAGCAGTGATTGCAGCAGGCTAGAGGGTTCGCTTGATTTCGATTCTTTATTTTGTTAGCTAGCTGAAGACTGGATGCTGATGCCGGTGGAGCCGGCATTTGATAACACATAAACGAATGTTAGAGGGATTGTTTCGAAACTAGCATCTACATTGCGGAATGTATACAGGCTACCCATCTCAATCAGCCCACAACTAAATATTATAATACAAATTTTAAATAAAATTTTGAACTCGTATCCCTTTCACGGTAATAAATAATTTTAGAAGGACATAGCTCGTTCATTTCCGCCAATAGCGTAGTGTTCATATATCTCAGCTCACATTATTAATCTCTCGTCGTGCCCACGCACTCAACCGAGGCAGGGCAGTCAGCGCGTTCACCGTGATTAGAGTAAACGTCTTGGACGGTCGACATCACATTGTAACAATAGAAGGTCTCCAAAACAACAACACGCACACGCGTCAGTCAACGACCTATCACCATCCACGCAAGCCTGCGCAAGGAAGAATGGTTCAACCCCTCCCAACCTCCCGGGTAATCGGCAACAGTGCCTGCAGCCATCCAGACCCAACAATATCCCCGGCGTGCTATCGGCCAGACAGACGGCTAGCCGGGAAGCGAAATTACATTGTTTTGTGATCTGTGTGCTGGGCAGTAAAGTTTAATTCTCCGCTCGAAATTGGAAAGCTTGGTCAAAGATACTGGTTGGGTAAGAGTCCGATAAAATTGCAAAGAAAATAGCTCAAGGTGTAATTATTTTCGGGGAAATGTTCAAGGAAAATGTATGTTATGTCAAGTTGCCTTCTTCTGTAATGGACCATACGTTTTAAGGTATATTTGTAAGTACCAGCGTATGTGCGCGGTCCCTTCATGAACTCACACCGGAAAGACCTCAGCACTAATATACTATAACATTATGTTATTTTACACGCATATACGGGCGGTGAACTGTAACCATATCGCGGTCCCGCCCTGATCCCGGCTTTAGTGCGTGACGGTGCGGCCGCCCCTTATATGCAGGGGAGCAACGGGTTGGCTCATTTACCGGCTTAACATGCCAGCTGGCCGCCTACCGTAATCTGATATGCGTTCCGGAAATTAAAGCACGGGTCGGGTCCGTACGGGAATTGAGGCAGACGCTGTGGCTCCGAGTTCATGTCGTGAATTCAGTTACGGTTTGATTATTTATAAAACATGAACTCAATAGAACATCCCAATGGTGAGGAAAGGGGTCGTCCGAGAATGTCCTTATCTTTGGTGGTTAGCATGCTGTTAGCATTGACATAAGCCACGTGAATGCTGCTCCAAAACAAACGCGCTGTTCAAGAAAGCTTTAATTCATCATACGGTTATTCAATTCAGCAGGAAAACCGTGTTGGAACTAATACAAAAGAATACCGCTTTGTAGCTTACGCAAACAGCCATAAATCAGCTGCATGAATTTCAAAGGTAGCAGGATGGTGACGTGACAGTTAATTCATGAGGCATTAGTACTTACCAACACCCATATGCCAGCAAGGCCCACAGCGTAATTCGACACGTCAAACGATGAGCTGATGGCAATGACGCTTTATTCGCGGCTATGCTATAAAAACCTGTGCTACTTAAAAAAAAACTTTGTATTGTAGCACAATAATAGAGGCAAATTTTGTTTCTTCCTTCTCTTTATTTCTTTGGTCATGAATATTAAAAGCAGCTATGTCATCGTGCTCCATTTGTCTCACCATTTTATCCCACACCAGTAAAAAGCAGCGTCTAAAGCAGTAAATTTTGGTACTTAAACTATTCCAATCTTGCATGTTGCCATAAATTTTATATTTTCATAAAAAATAATCGGATTCTATTGTGCTTGGAGTTTTGACGTTAGCCAATCTACACTACATAGCGTGGCCTGTTGCGATCAATGACCCATGCCGTACACTCAAGGGATTCGGTGTTATCAGGATACCAACCAAAGCATGCCATATTGCCGGGCGCAGTCCTCGTTCACCAAGAAAGAGCCTTATTTTTTGCAACAGCAGGCCGTAATTTTGCTACAATTGAACGCGCCTATCCACAGCGCTGCGGTCTGTGTAATGCGGCACAGCATGAATTCAGGCGCCCGCACTAGCGCCATCCTGCGGCAAGACCAATAACTTGCCTGTAGGCCCGCCGCCTTTGTTCCTGATATCTCGTGGTATCATGGCGGTGAAGGCTTATGGCTGCCGGGTGATGCTCTTCAGTTAACAAATATAATGTTGATATAAATGACAAGTATATTGACATGTAGTGACATGCAGACCCAAGTGACTGACGCCTCCATAAAGTGACGAGTGTTCTGGTCGTGCAGCTGCTCAGCAGATGACCGATGATGTACCCACAGCTGACCAGTGTTCTGGAGTGTGCATGATGTGACTGACGTCTTTATACTGTGCCTCCAGGTGACCAGTGTGATGCTGACCGACCGGCGCCTGCCTCCTATAAAGGAGAGTCACCGTGAGCCGTCCCCGCAGTCTTCCAGCCGCCCCTGCTCCCCGGCACCCTCGTCCCAGTCGGCGCCCGTCAGGTCAGTCGAGGTCAACGCAGGTCATTCAAGGTCAGGGCAGGTCAGGGTGGATAAGGTCTGCCCCTGCTCCCCGGCACCCTCGTCCCAGTCGGCGCCCGTCAGGTCAGTCGGGGTCACAGCAGGTCAGGTCAGGGTCAGGTCAGTCAAGGTCACGGCAGGTCAGGGTGGGTCAAGTCTGCCCCTGCTCCCCGGCACCCTCCTCCCAGTCGGCGCCCGTCAGGTCAGTCGAGGTCACGGCAGGTCAGGTCACGGCAGGTCAGTCAAGGTCAGGTCAAGTCAGGGTCAGGTCCACCCCTGCTCCCCGGCACCCTCGTTCCAGTCGGCGCCCGTCAGGTCAGTCCAGCACGGCGAGGTAGAGCAGGTCACGGCGGGTCAGGTCGGTTCGGGTCAGGTCAGACCAATGGAGTCGCAAAAGGTCAGATTTCACACTGGATGCGACCATTGAAAATTCAGGTCAAATTACATCGATTACATCTCGATAGATGCAATATCAATTACACATCAAAGAATGCACTTTCACATCCTGCTTCTTTTGTAAAAACCCAACGGAGCGAGACACAATTCCTCAGACCGATCAAGCTGCAAGAATCGCGCAGGGTTGTGTGCTGAACTACAAATAGACCAGGCAGCTCAAACAATACTGTTCATTCAGAGTAAGATGTCAGGGGTTGCCCGAACACAGCGGTTCGTCTCGTCCATTATTCATGCGAGCCCACTGATGGCCGCAGATTAGCTTGGATGGGTGAAGCCCGATCGGTGCTCGGGGTAGATACAGTTTCCGCCCCGTCAGTTTTACTGCGGCGGCGCGGACAGCTCAATGGAGATATTCAGTTTTTAAGGAGCTACCGCCGTGATTCAAAGCAATGTCTGGTGGTGAAGACAAAATCATGGCGTAATATTGATGTCATGCATATTGCATATCAGATGAAGAATTCAGGATGTAATTTTTGTCATATAGATACTCAGAACATTCAGCAGGTAAGTCAGACGATTATGAGATAGGAAATATGAAAAGCAGCTCCATAGAACACGTAATTGCGATAATATCTTTTTTACCCTTCTTTACACGACAAAAGTTTCATTGACTACCTTAGTGGAACAAAATCATTCTTAGTGGAACAAAAGAGCCAAGAACGGGAGTCATTGAACGCCATTGAGCGAAAACCTGGCAATGGTGTCAAACCAAGCTGAACCAGCTTTCAATCCGATGCATTGACTGCGAAAAACACCACCAAAAGTTCACTGTTTTTCCGTCATTGTGATGCCGGCGAAATATTTCCTCCTCACTGGTTAGCGATCACTGCTGTGGGCGGTTAACGGTCCGCCAGTTTCGACAGGCTGAATTTCAATTGTTGAATGTCCCACAGCACGGTGGCAGACGCTCATAACCCGGTTTGTGGGCCGAGACCACTGAGTAGAACAGAGCCGCTGACGGTGATGTTAGCTTGAGTGCAGTTCACTGTCGAGCATTGAACACAGTCGTCGGGCAGTGTCCGCAGCTCGGCCACAAGCACCGAACACATTTACAGAGCCAACTGTATCCCAACACGGGGAACCGACCGAGGTTCTCCCCGACTGGACGTGTAGCCTCTTCCAGGGCTGCATCGACCTCTTAACCGAGCTGCACCCCGGGTCGTGTTCGCTCCAGAGCGATATGTGACCCGCGTTGCCCACCTCCCAGGCGGCTGAGCCTTCACCCCACCGGCCATATATATGGCGGCAAGTGCCCCGGGCCCGGGCGGCCGCAGAGAAAATCGTTCACCAGCCGGCGGCGGCGGCAATAAGTCAGGGGATATCGACCTCATATGTCAGTCGGACCGCGTCCCGGCGTGCCACCGAGCCGCGACCCCGGGCCTCGGTACGATCCGGGCTCAGTCAGACCCCGGCCCGTTGGGCCACGACCAAAGCACGGCTAGAATACGGCGAGAGCACGGTCTAACGCCAACAGAGCACAGCTAGGGCACGAGTGTCAAGCCGGTCTCACTACACCCTATACCACTGACCGGTACTAACAGACCGAACCACGGGCCGGCCACAAAATAGTCAGAGCACGGTCTCCATACGCATTCAGCACGACCGCCACGCCTGTCTCATCATATTCCTACCACCAGGGCTCCGGACTGCCGAGTCGATGGATTTTTGGTGGTTCCCACTTCGACTCTGGCTTCCAAAATAGATTCCGCCTCTGACTCCGACTACGACTCCAGTTCTGACTCCAGGCTAACTGTCGACTCCGATCGACTTTGACACCGACTCCGCAGCCCTACCCACCACACCCACCACGTGGAACGGACACGGAACAGACCTAGCCCAGCGCGGCCAGCACCAATTCGGCTTGGTCAGCTCAGTCGCCGCGGCAGGGCGCCAATTTTGGCTGCGGATAATGGGGGCCCGCTCCCGCCGGCTCGGCGAAAACGCTGCTCCCAACACAGGATATCGTGGAAACGGTGGCGATATGAGCACTAGGAAGGTCCCCGGAGGCAACATCTTCGGGAAATGGGGATTCCGACAACTACAAAACTAATGTGAGCATTTTATTAGACCTTTCTCGAGATAAAAGTCACAAAATTTCAATATCGTCTAAAATTTCCTTGGCATTTTCAGGAAACATCACGTTGCGAAACGATTAAGTTCATTCACCTCCGTTGCTTGATACACTACGCTTGCGTAGCAACTCACCATAGCTACCAAGAGCCAGACGCCTGCCAGCAACTGCAATCTGCCTTATCGGCGGCCAAGTTTCTCTGGACTATTTACCGGCCACAGTGGAGCACGCTATCTAACTAAAGACCCCTCCGGGTGCAGTCCCCACTAAACGGTTCACGACGCTTCCTGGTTAACCGACAGAGTCCCTCGTAGTAGCCGGTCCACGTAATTGTCTGGCACGGATGGCAGCCCCGTCCCGTCCCCGCCCTGTGAGCTCACAGACAGAGCCGACGCTACGCCAACGCCCGTGGCCTCGCGTGCCGTCTGCCAATGCCGGCGCGGCGCGGTCTCGCTGAAACGGCGATACAATTCCACTAAGTGACCGGGCCGCCTTCAGCCGTCTTCTCATGGCTCGATCCAAAACAATGGCCGTCTGTACAGCGTCAGGTCAAGGTCGATCGAGGCGATTTTACTAGGATGAGTAGAACAGGGAGGCTAGCTAAACTACAACGCTGTGTATTAGACATGGTACTTGGAATCATTATTGGAGTCAATTACATCGATGGTAATTGCACTTCAACGCAAGCATCCTTTGACACTGAAGGCCAATAACCCAAACCTTTCAGGGTTGGAACAACCTAGCCACGCACTGCGTCGTTTATAATGCGTATTACGGCTTTATGTTTATAAAGGTTGGGTCGACAATCTTGTAACTTCGACATTACACAGTCAAGCGTCTTCTAAACCGACCTAATAGGCCTATTACGTTATATTCGCAACTCACGTGTCCTTGAGCCCCCGCCGCGGCCCTCCACCAGACCAATCTGACCCCTGACCCGACCCGTGCCCTCAGGTCAATAAAGTCGGCGGCGGCACCGGTGCGTCGACTGGTGCCGGTGCGTCGCGTCGGCCGTCGCCGCGCTCCCCTCGCCGATGACGACGAAACAGAGCGACTCCTGCCAGACGACGACGACGAAGTCACCAGGACGGCCTAGCGGGGCCGAGAGGGACCCAGTGGACCCAATGGGCCCCCAAGGAGGACCCAAGAGCCCAGCCGGTCGGCCCGGCAGCCCTCAGCGGCACCAGCAATAAGCAGCAGCGTGCCGAGCGGCCATAGTGCGTAGGCTGTTTGTTCGAGGCGGGCTAGTGGCGCGCAGGTAGACAGATATACCTATACATATATCGTGCTCAATGGAACGCGGGCTCGGCGAGCCGGCGCAGCGGTAGTTACGGGGGCGCGGCGGAGGACGGAGGGCGGAGGTCGGATGGTGGAGGGAGGAAGGCAGACGGAGGACGGAAGGCGATGAACTGATGGCGGAGACCGGAGGACGGACGGTAGCCGGAATACGGTGGACAGTGGACGGCGGAGGGCGAAGGGCGGAGGGCGGTGGACGGGGCGGAGGACGGAAAGCGGAGAGCGGAGGATGGAAGCTGAAGAGCGTAGGGCGATGGTGAACAGCGGATTGTGGACGATGGATGGCCGAACATATGCATAGGGCCTAGGACGAAGGTCGGCGGAAGTCTGCCATTTGGAGCTACTGTGGGCGGGACGAGGGCGGCGAGCGACGTTGGCTACGCAGTACGCTGACCATCAGCGCAGTGGTCAGGACGGTGGGACCATTAACGACTCCCGGCAGTACAGTCACGGATTGCCGTGCCAGCAAAAGGCAGCGTTATCGCGGCCCAGTCGACCTCAGCAGGAGCAGAGACGCTCGGAAAGCTAACGAGCATAATTATCGCGCCTCGCTATGTAATTAAATGAAATGGAATGCGTCGAAACCTCGCGCATGTAGGATGAGACTCCATACGGACCAGTGCACGGTAGGCGATCGGGCCGGTCTAGCCTCGCGAAACTTCAAAGACACTGTTTTCCGAAAATTGGGAAACAACGCATACTAGTCGACAGAAAATTCATCAAAGATTACGATTAAAGCATTTGCATGGCTCAGGAGACATTTTTTCGTCGACAAAAGTATCGTTAAAGACAGCGTTCCGTAACACTTCATAATCACAGCCGATATTTACGCTCTTTGAATATTTTGCGGAACGATGAAATTGCTAGGTGTTGAGCATCCATTTTGCATGGAAAGTGAAATTTAGATGTTAAGACGATTCCGCCATAGAAAGCAAGTAGACAAAATCAGTTCAAAATGTCTTATAATTAAGTTAACTTTTTATATTTTTTTCTACCACTGAACATTACGTTCACTGAATTAACCAAGCCCAGCAAAAAAAGTTTTACGAGGATGAACTGAAAATAATGCTGTATCGCATGCACTTAGACACTATCTATTAGGAGAGCCAGTGAAAATTTGCAGCCACTTGCAGCCCTGGCATCCAGACACCTTTTTCTTCTAAGGGTTGGCCAAGGCTTGGTGCACTTGAGCACAAGTGGTAAATGCCACAAAGGGTGTTTTCGCGATAGCTCAAAACACCCAGGCAATAGAGAACTTCAACTTGGCATACCTGACCTTTGATGCACGCCGAATCTTGTGACACCAACCGCACTTTCAAGTCAGGTCAGGTCACTGACCTATGACGTCATAAATTAAACTCTGCACGATCCTCAGATGTCGCAACCTTGCAACGCTCTCAGTGCCAGAGTAACTTTCACAGGGAGGTGAGACTTGCAGGACTTATTGTCCTTTAGAGGTCTTACAACTTTTATATCTCAGATTTTTCCTAAATGTCACATAAAGTCAGGTTCGTCACGTGACCTCACCTAAAAATCAATGGGGAAATATGAAAACTGTTATTTTGGCGCCAGGAATGATATTCAATTGTCTCAAGTACATGGAATCGTTACTTCATGCACTCCTTGCAAGATCTGATGCGGCATTTTTGCATTGTTGACCTTGCATGACGTCATTTATGACGTCACTAGGGTCATACGAGTTTTTCGTCAATAACTCCCGATCAAATTGAGCTAGAGAGTCGACAAGGTCACCAATGGACTCCGGAAGACCTGCCGAATCGAATGATATGCGATATAACCTCCTTTGACCAACTTCGTGATTTGAAGACCTCTGACCTGACCTTGACTCGAGGTCAACACCTTACGGTGGCCTCACCTGAACAAAAAGTATACCATTCGACGCGCCTGAGCAAGGCGAACACGACGATGTCAAAATCGTGGTTCTGCGGCCATTTTTTGCGAAGTTATTTACCAAAAACCAAACCCGCTGCTTGGGTCACGTTATGAAATGGGGCCTTGCCGGGCGAGATTTACGCTGTTTCATGACATGTATAAATTGGTAGGACATAATCGTTTAAATAAAAAGTTGGTTTGGAAGCAATTTTCTACGGAGGTACACACCATTTCAATGTCCTACCCAGCTCATATCGTCATAAATTTCGCTATACCCTCAAAAGTATTCATGCGTTATTCGAGCGGCAATTAGGCAAATTGCAAGCTCACCACAGAGCACAAATCCTAAAAGAGATAGTCCTTATTTAGACCATATGCTCATTGGATATTCAAGAAGGTTGCTCCTAAATATTGTGGTTCTAGCTTCAAAAACATGGATGTTATGAATGCCGATAGGTTTCGCGAGGCTACACCGGCCGGATCGCCCACTGTGCAGTGGTTTGTAGTTATGTCAGCTACTGCAGGCCCATTTCAGCCAAATTAAAATGATATAGTTCGGGCGGCTCCCCCATTCGGCACCAAACTCGAACCGACTGGTTACAGTGCTACTCCTAATATTGATGACGTTTGGACGGACTGAATACTTTTCCAAGAACCAAGCGTCCTTTAACCACATCCCTCTGAAGCCTGAGCCCCTCTAGACAGACACCCACGGCGCTTGCCGTTCCGGTCTTTAACCGTACCACTCGCTCGCTAAGACTGCCTGCGTGACGGGGCTCACTTGCTCAGCTACAAACAACGAAACTCGGCAGCGCCAAAGTCACGAACTTGGCCGAGCCGCCTCTCGTTGGGCGTTATACCTCGGCCCATCCGAACTTGGAGGCCTCCCGCAGCTCACTCCAACAAATAGCCCGAGTTGAACGGATGACTGGGCTGAAGGCTGACGGCTGACGGCTGACGGCGGACCGTGGACTGTTAAAGGTTGACGCCAAGTAGCCAACGACTGAACAGTGAAAAATGTGCCTAGCATGCAAGTCATACAGAGCCGGGCTTATTGTTGAGAACAACCAAGTTCAATTTTCTAGATTTTCCGTTGCATAAACCGCTGTCAAGTTGTCCCTATTTCTTTGCTAGCATAATTTTGTCTTTGATTTTTTTTTTGTATAAAAAAATTATCATGTTTGACCAGTCAACCCATTGGGACTATTTTACAATGCTCATGAAGACAGAGCAAGCAAACACGTGATATGCTAAACGGGACACGACCACCTACGACAGAAAAAAATGCACGTTCTGACGACTGACGGAGGATGACAAACCTACTGGCGTCCAGCCGCCCACCCGCTAATTGATGGTCCTATACGGGCGCTCCGTCCCTCCAACGGTCCTCGCTGCGCCGAAATTGAATCGTTGACTCGACGCATTTTCATAGCTAACAGGAGCCCGATCCAATAGAGTCGCCCCAACCTGACACGCCCCGGGAGGGCGGTGCATCTTGGTCGGTTTGGTCCGGTTTATTTAGATTTATTTATTTAGACATACAACAACATCCACAAGCATCGTGGCTTTTCAGTTGAGGTGATTATGAGGTGATGCGTTGAAGCCAACCAACCCCCAACCCGGTTGGATGGGGGTTGGTTGGAGGGGCGGGGCAGTCCTACAGAAACGCCTAAATAGATGAAAATGGAAAAGTGGCAGATCAGGGAGTTACAACGAAGCCAGGAGAGGCCGTGGAAAATTGAGGCAGATTGTTTATGGAGATGCAATAACGGAAGAGAAAGCATCCGTTCGCAGTGTCTGTTGATTTCAATGGACCGCCCAGACGACGTTGTTATTCTCTAGACCGCGAGTCGCGACTCCAGAAACGGCCGGCAAAATCAGACGAGACTCCCACTCACGCCAGACACCACGTGACCCAGACGTCCAGCCAGTGACGTATGGGTCTGGCACCGAGGCCGACTATACCGGTCACCATGTCTGCAGAGAAAACCTCTGAATAATTAACAACCAATTCTTCTTCGGTTGCTTAGACTTGGATGTTTTATGAATAGTGAATACCCCATGCCCCTTCCATGTACAATTTTCAAACGCCGAACACTTTATGAGCAGGCAGAAACATTTTGACGTAGAGCTCATAACCGCAGTAGCATCCACCGGTTAGACAGAAAGGCACGGCCGGTTTCTTAACGGTTGGCTGTTTGGCACGTGTTGGGTGTGTTACAAGAATAGCAGCAGTTGGCAGCTGCAGCAGCGAGCTGGCTTTGTATAAAACATGAACAATGAGCGAGGCTGCAGGAATATGCAATATCCAGAAAGCCCACTGCTGGCAAAAAAGTCACCAAAAGTCAAAAGCATCTTTCCTTTTGTTCACAATACCTACCATGCATCCAAAAACTTGCGAAACAAATTGATGGTGCCAATCTAAGGTCGTATAAACTTTCCTGCAATATTTTGAACAGCGGAATAAACAGTCATATTTAGACATGCAACCAGATACTACATCTCAGTCCCTGGTCCCTCCTCTCCTCTCCGTTTCTCGCACAAAGATAGCTCACGACAGACAGTTCGTCAGACATCAAGACCGCCTGGGACAGCCATTCTCCACACAAGACAGCCCAGGCCCCAGATAGACGCCTCCGGACAGGAAAATCCAGGACAGTGGAGGCTCCCACCAGGACAGTCCAGACAGTTCGCCATCCATCAGACCAGTCCCAGAGTTCCATCGCCGTTCCTGAGTCGCCACCGCCGTGCCGCAAAAGCCTCGCTAACCAGATGCGGCCGTAGCCTTTGTGTAGCGGGCGGGGCGTAGCCCGGCCTTAGATGCGTAGCGCCGCATTGCCAAGCGTAGGTAGAAGACGTTAGGCCGATAGTAGACGGAGGCCGAGATTCGGATACATGTCGATGAAACACCGGGAATGGAGGAAAAAAGCGACACTCTGTGGAAATGCTCGGACAGAAGGGTGCGCCCAGTCGTGGTCTAAGTTTGTCCTTGGGGTAAACTGCGATCCGCTGGGCCATGCTGTGTTGAGTCCGGCTGGGCTGGTCGGGATGGGTTTGAGTTAACTCAGTCTCTCAAGGAGCCGGAGAAGCCAGTATCCGTTCCGGAACGGTTGGGTCCGGTTCCGGGCCGGCCTGGAACGAACTGGCCAGCTCGGACCAGGCGGAACCTACCGGTACGGTTCTGGCAGAGCCAATATCAGCTGAGACAGAGCCAACCAACCCTGACCGAGACTCACAGAGTCCTCCCAGCCGATTCCAGAAAGAGCGAGCACCGGATCTAGACTTCCCCGTAAAGCCAAGACTTGCCAGGCCGGTCGGACGCGACTCCGACATCGAACTGTCGCGTCCGTCATTCGGTGTCGAGCCCGGCTCCATCCAGCACGCTCCGGCTGTAGAGAGCTGCCCGGCGCGAGCTGGAAGGCCTCAGACGCAGCTCCGTCAGCCGTCTGACCAGTGCCAAACGCTGTTTTGTATGGGACGCCGGGGAGCGCGCCGGCCGCCTGCGGCGAAATGTAGTGCTGTGTAGTGATCGGTGGACCGTGTGGGCGGGGCGGGCGGGGTCGACGGGATGTCGCTGGCTGTAGAGATGGTTCATGTGCGTAGCGCTCGGCCATGTAAGTCAAACTGGAGCCATCGACGAACCGCCAAGTGTCCTCCGGACGGTGTCTGATCGTCTCAAGACCTTGTTACACCATCGCGACCGCCGCCCGTCAAAGGCACACTCCCGTCAGCCGCAGCCGGAGCCCATTCGTCGGGCGGCGCACGGCCGACACCGAGCTGTAATCATTAGTTTTATGTACAAATTAGCTGTAATAATACAGAGTATCGACATGCACAGATGTGTTTATCTCCCCGCAGCAGCAACAGTGCGATCGTCTCTCCCACTCCCTCAGGGATTATTTACCCATCGCGTGGGACCAATCTACTCGCCAGGAGTTTCTCCAGCCAGACGCTAGATGTCACTATCAACAGGGCACATGCCCGCTTCACAGGACAGAACTGAGAATTCCGTCGGTCGGGTTGGGCTGCCGGCGGCCGGTGGCCCGTCGTTTGGTAGTCGCTATGCCAAGGTCTCGTGCCGAGGACCACTGTTCGATCGATAATGCATACTCGCGGCCGCAGCTGGGCCAAACACGGCCAGAGGAAATTAGGAAAACAGACGGCACGCCAACCAGGCTGCGCTGGAATGCGCATTACAAACGGGTCGAGTGAATTGTGGTATACACCGTTCCGTGCTTCTATCCTCAGGATACGGAAATCCTTCTCCTCCACGCCGCAGCCCCCTCCGGGCTGGACAGGCAACTTTTATCTCATGCGGGCTGCTCCCTTAGAGCGGCACCGCTGCTCCCGAGGGAGCGCACCCCGTAGCCGGGTGCAGTGAGTGCCTTGGGGCTGGGTGGCCTGTCCTCTGGACGGGCTCAGCCCCGGCGACTCACTAGGGTGCCTGCCCAGTGCCCAGACCAATGTCTCCCCCTATATATCCTATCATCCTCCCGGCTCTGAAATGGTCACATTGGACCGAAAGGGCCTAACAACAAAAAAAAAAACTTGTATAAGAGCGTCACTTGATTAATATATCATCATATTTTCCTGCCTCTGCTGCGCAATGTAGTCTCTGATTAGTTATATTAACATACCAGTTTGCAGTCAAGCATGACACCTGGATAAAAAGCACGGGTCAGCGAAAATAGCATTTTTTCGTCATACACGTAATACCCAGACGGCAGACGCCAAATTTTATAACGCATACATTCAACAGCACCATAACACTCCGCTTTCATAACAATTCAGGAAAAACAAACTTATCACTTTCGCATATATTGTATTAGACTAATACATACAAAAATACCGTACAACGCATCGATTATATCCACACTCTGCAACACAAAACAACTGCAAGGAAAGGAAGCACAGGCATGCCAGGCATGCATGTGTCTGTTAAATTCCCAAGCATTGCCCACCTAGACATCAGCCACATAACGCAGACGAAACACGAGAACAATCCTGAAAGCCGCGCCCCACTGGGGTCTGCGTATAACACGCCCTACTGGGGGGGGGGGGGGGGGGCTATTCATAGCCCCCCCCCCCCTCCTAACTCCGAAACTACTGAGCCGATCGTCAAAATTCAAACGGCGTATGATAGCCCCGGAAAAACTGTCGAACGAAACCTAATTTGATTGACCTCGAGGTCACCGATGATGTCACAGGTCAGGTCAAAGTAAAAACTATCAGCATTTTGGCTTGTTCACATTTTGGGCTCTGGCCGCCGTCTTACAAGTCAGATCAGGCTCATTTTTGGATCACACACTCGGGAACAGATGCTCTAGTTACCCTGAGGGTACCAAACTTGTAATTTGATTTTCAGGTCAAGGTCAGGTCATCACAGGTCACGAAAATATTATATCATGCGTCGGTCACGTGACACATGTTTTATGGTCCATTTAGGTCAGATATTTCGAATTTGATGTCATCTGTGTCATTCGAGGTCATTTTGAGTCGAATTTAGCTTAGGTCAGGTCACTTTCAGGTCAAAAAGGTCAAATTTTGAAGTTAAAATTTTTCAACAAAAAAAAGGTGTTTGTTAGATGCAGTTTGAGCTCAGGAACACGATGGTGCTATTTATATTGGCGTATGATGTCAAATACGTGCTGAAAAATTGATTTGAAAAATTAATAATTGTGAATTTTTTTGCAATAATGCGTAAAACTTGGCCATTTTTGAAGATATTTAGCTAAAACTTGCTAGAGTTAGTCATAATAATGCGTTCTATCACATATATTCCGTTTTTTTCGAAAAGTCAAAAACTTTTTGATAAAAATGTAAAAATATAAATTTTGGATTTTATTATATTAAATTTTCCAAATTTTCAAAATTTCGAAAATTCGAGATAGCAGTTTGATAGCGCAGTCTATTTTGAGTCCTCTCATGCAAAGAAATTGGATCTAGCTTAAAAACTGAGCTCTTGGGAGCGATTTCCGTGGTTCAATGTTTTGCGTCGAAATCGGCCGAACATGACGTCACTCTGACGTCATTTCCGGCCGACCTATAGCAGTTACGAAGTTCAAATTTTGACACAAGGTGTCAAATTGATGCAGCCTAAGGTACTGAAAGTTTGGCGTCGATACGTCAAGCGGTTTGGAAGTTATTGCAGAAAAACGGGAGGGGGCTATGAATAGCCCCCCCCCCCCCCAGTGGGGCGCGGGTTAAAGCAGCCTCGTTCGGTTTCTGGTGTTCATAAAACTATATGGTGTGGGCGGCTGGCGGATTAGGTATGTCTGCCCGGAAATGGTTTATGTAGCGCCCATGATTTGATTAAACCTATCTTTATACGGGGTGGGAGCATCACAATCGCTAGGCATGTCGGGCAGATGCCAGGAAAAAGCACAGGCTGTATGCTTTTTTCAGCCCACGGTAGATGATACATTAACGTCAAACTATTCAGAAAAGAATCGGCAACACAGACGTCAAAAACAAGTCGCCTCAGCCGACAACGAAAACAACTCAACAGGTATGACAACCGGACATCGGGTATTGACCGTAGTTTTCCCTCAAGCGACAACTGATAAAATCCATGGGCATTTTGAAACATTTATGCTAGCAAATAATCGACGAAATATCTTTTAGGAACCAAACTACTGCAAAATGCCTCTTAAACAGCTCAGCACACTTCGATGGATTTAATGAAAGACCCTTCGAACACCGGTAGCACAGCTTCAAAAGCTGGTAGATTATCTGTTTTCACAGACCAAAATATCATTTGATGGTATTCTCTTTCCTATATAAAAAAGTAAATAGTTACACGGGGCAAAATAATTTGAAGTGGAAAGTTCCAACTCTGACATACATTTTCTATCTGCAAGTAGTTTACGTGGGTTCATTCACTAGGAATTAAGCAATAAATGGTGTTACATTCACAAGTTAAATGCCATTAGAAACTGTAATGAATTACAATATCAAGATCGCTATGATAAAGCCTAGGCGCAGCCCGTTAAACGTATCCCAAGAAGCGCAAAACGAGAGACTTGACATCGCCCCGCCCTCCCTCAAAGCCTTCTGGAAGCATATAATAACGTAAGTGCTCGCCTATAAATTGTGCAACACATTCTTATCACATATGTACTCGCTTATCTGCCTCACCTTAAGATGAGATGGTTAAACAAAACAGCAGACTCACAGGACCCAAGCAGATTACCACCATGTGCAACGTGCATGATAAATAACAAGTGGTAAAACAGACCGAAGACAAATAGCTGAACGATAAATCGTAACATAAATAGGGACTAAAAAGCTCGGAACAGGAATCAACATGAACAGGTAACTTGTCATTGTGTGTAGAAACACCTCATGACTATTTCAATAGGTACTATAGTCCGTTTTTCTTAAGTTTGCCCCTCACTGTAAACGTCTCTTTGAACACAGCACGAGAATTGCTAGCTGAATTACTGAGAAAACTGGTAAGCGCACATTGTATTGTAGATATGAATAATATTTTCAAAAATAAGTTTTGAACATCGACGATTTAACGTTATGTTAAACGCCGTGCAATTTATTTATTAGTTCAGACATAAGTCCTGAGAAGTCGTCTATCCCTGTGAGGCTGTAGGTATTGGCAGATACGATTTACGAGTCTGTGAAATAGTAAATAAATTTGATGAAATTGATCGTCTGTGAAATCTGATTAAATCAGTGTGCGCCAACCAGTTTTCTCAGTAATTCAGCTAGCAATTCTCGTGCTATGTTCAAAAAGACGTTTACAGTGAGGGTCAAACTTAAAAAAAACGAACTATAATTGTTCAATCAGAGTAAATAGTGGTAGTCCAGCCGATTTAAGTCCGTAACGGACTATAATTGGCCGGGCAACTGTCATAAATAGAGTGCACGCTACTCGACGAGTATGGTATGAGGAACTAATTAGTGGGTGCGCGGCAAATCGAAAACAAGGCTAGTAAGGATAAATACACCAGCACAGACGCATACGAAAATACTAAACGACAAAAAATATCGATAAGTTAGATCAATTACCAAAGTAGGGTACCTACATCTGACGTGTCAGCTTCTACAGGTAGACTAGGTAAGCTTCAGTGATTATATCTGTGGCTGCAGCAAGGGAGGCAACCTAACTGAAGCAGCAATACTATCCCAATCACGTATTTGACTGTGTTACAGCCCAGCAGCACAGCAGCCTGTGCTGTAGCACAACTCGCTTCCGGCACAACTGCTCTGCAGTGTGCACACAGCCCCGCGCTGATAGTGGGGCGGACATGACTATAAAAGGTTCCCCAACTGCCGACTGAATCAGGTGAACCACCAGACCACTTTGGCCGTCGGTAGAGCCACGGGTCAACCCCAAATGCCTTGCATGGTGAATGCCTTCAAAAAATAGGCACACATCCTCCAACATCATGTCGACGTCAGCAAAGCTCGTTCAGGGTCGGTAGTCTTGTCGCAAGCCCCCTCAAGCTCTACAAAGCTAAGGCAGCGCGGCAATCCTAGACATCCGACGCAAAGCTAAGGCAGCGACTATCTACACCTCCATCCAACCTGACTCCTTCGCCCAATTCATGGTTACACTCAGTTGCATTGGTCGACTATATGATACGTGAGATGGTTCCAAGCTCATGACCTGTAACTTGATACGCAGTCCATCAGAACTGAACCTCACAAAATAGATGTCCTTTTGGCGCTACACTCTTGTCACAAATCGCACCTTATCATAAGGCTCATCACAATCCCTGGCGGAAACACATCTCGCGGACTCGCTTCATGCGCGACTGGCACTACAAAACTACGCAGCTCACTGAAAGTACGTCACCAGAGCCCGCATCTCCTGTCTGAGGGTGACGTCCACCGCGTGTCTGCACGTGGCGCACGTGCTCACGTGTCGACCAGGCCGTCCCAGCGCGTTCTGACGTAGCGTGATCCGCTGAGACAGACCTCCCTCATGTGGTGGGAGATCTGGCCAACGGTCAGCTCCCTCTGTCGGACAACAGACGATAGAGGTCAGAGGGCAGAGGTCACAGGGGATAGCCAAAGGTCATGTGTCGGAGGTCACAGGGGTCAGAAGGAGGCCAAACTAGGGGTCAGATGAAGAGCCACAGTGGTCTGACTCAGGTCGTGAGGGTCATGTGTCAGCCAGATGTTACAATGATTAGCATGGTGTAAAATCAACTTTCAAAAATGCGATGGGCTTACCATCGAAACAAGCGAATAGATGAAAATGGGAACACAAGATCACGACGTAGACAAATAAGCAATGTTAAATAATGGATAAAAAATGTATCGCAAGGAGAGGATAGAACAGCAAAATATGAAGAGTAGGCATAAGCAGTGTTGCTTGATACGCTAACACCATCACCCTAATTGGCAGACACAGACAGGACTCAGACATGAGCCCCACAAGATCAGCGCGGCTCGGCCAGACGGCATCAGACGGGGATCAGACGGACCGCAGCCGCCGGGCACATAAGCCTCTCAGACTGGCCCAGTAGGATGATCCGCTCTGAGCGCGACAACAAACACTCGGCAATTGAGGGTGCTGAGGCATATGGCAGTATCTAGGAGCCCGTGTTGTTGAGACATGTGGCAGTGTCGGAGAGCTCAGCTAGGGAGGTCCCTGGGTGGGTGTGTTGCGTTGTGTTCAGGAAAATGGATGTGCGAGGTTCGCACGTGTGTCACCAATTGCAAGCATCGAGTAACAAAAACGTGTCACATATATTCGCTTCGTTTCGTTTTTGTTACTCAGCCTACTGTCAGGGTATAGTGGGTGTCGAGGATCATGATTGTGAAACGTGTGTGTGGAAATAATAAAGTAAAAAAGTGCAGGCATCGAATGTTGTGGAAGGTCTATTTGTGAATTAGAATGTGATCCTCACGTTTCAGCTGTAGGGAAATATCCACCAAGAAAGGGATGCACAGAACACAAAGCAGGAACAGAGCAGATAACCAGCACAGAGCAGAAACAACCAAAAATTACAAAGATAGCTTGAAGCCGCATCACCGGCCACGATAAACAAGCTAAGCAAATGCAGGCGCAGTTTTTTTTAATGCGTTTTCTCCCTTTCTGTGGCCAACATCACACCATCTGAGCCCCCACTGACCGTTACGAAGTACTTACCTTACACCGTTTGCGATATGTGTCGAGCAGGGCGGCCAGGAAGGCCCTCTGTTCGGTCAGTGTGACAAAGTAGAGACGCCACGAGCCCATGGACTCGGCCGCCTCGGCGGTGTCAAACTCCTGCCAGAGGAGCGGGGGGAGTTACAGGAGAGAAGTGGTGCAACAGATACACCAGTCACAGAGCATGCATATTGCATGGGGTCAGGCAGCATCGATGGTGCCAAGCGATTGGAGTGCCATAAAATATAGAATTGCCGCGAATTTTGAAGACATATCGACTTCCGTAAAGGTTGCAAGTTATTAAATTGCTCCACTTCAGAAATATGCCATCACTGCACTGGCACACCTGATGATGTGACTTTTACAAAAGTCCTAACCAAATAAAGAAAATTATCTATCCGCACCTGATTCCAACCAGATAACCTTCCACACTATCATTATGCTTCAAACATGAACTTCCCTTCATACCGCCCCTTCTCACCACATGCACTGTTCCATGCGAATCAGCGTTGACGGCTCCGAGGTCTCTCAGCGACCCACAGGCCTGTACCAGGTGGCCGTACGGACACAGCTCGAAACCGGGCGCCACACTGCGTGTGAAGGCCATCTCTTCGACGACGTACAGCGAGCGTCCGGTGAGCACGCAGCAGCGCGGCCGGGGGCTGGGCAGCTGCGACGGCACCTGAAATAATGGGGAGCGGTCAGACAAGGAAATACAGACAGAATCATAGTCGAAACAGGAGCTCACACGCACTAGAAGGACTGCAAAAAGGAGAAGTCGCTGAATATGCGTTTCAAACGGGAGACGGCTTGTGGGCAAGTCTATGCATGCCAACACATCTATTGGCTCCTTTGTGTATATATGACACAGTTTTTCAATAAAGAAAAATACAGAAAAAGTCACCTCTATATTTTTGTCTCACGTCTCGGTCTCACTCACATTCAGTTCGATAATCTCCCGGACGGTGGCCGCCCATCGGGAGCAGGTATCCGCGTCCGGCGCGGCCAGCGTCAGCCAGCGTCCGGGAGCCGCCAGCTGCAGCTGGTGGGGTCGGCTGAGCTCGGTCAGACGCCGGCAGCTGGCCATCGAGGGCAGCGGCCAGCGGTCGAGTGGCGCGCCGCCGCCCCGCTCCGCCGCCGCCGACGGGTACACCAGCAGGTCCGTGTCCCTGTGGGATGGGAAGAGCATGGATTCACAGGCTAGATCACAGCGCATGAAACCACTGGTCATGTTAAGTCAGTTCTTTGGTGTGTCCAGCTCGTGTTATTTGTCAAGCTATAATAGTAGCGGAGGGAGTCATTACGATGATAAGTCACGCCATTTTTTGGAAGGGATCAATCTTTGCGAAAAACAAAACAAAACGATACCCATGACATTCTACCTACGCGGCTAACAAAACGAGTAACACGAACACTACTTCCAGCTTATAATAAGTCGATGAGTCATAACACTATTGATCACCACCAGGACCTACCGTCCAGCTGTGTGAGTAATCATACTACCGAACCCTAAAAATGGTCCTACCCACACCCCAATCACCATTACAATACTATTCTGTCTATTACTGACCAGAGAACGAAGTGACCAACGCTCCACCGCGGCTCTGCGTCCGTCTTGTACATGAGCTGGTCGGATAGTTTGGGGGTCTCCCCGGGCACGGCGAAGTCTTCGAAGTACACTAGAGACGCGTACTGGATCTCCGCCTGGCGGGGCGAGTGCGGTCAGGTCAAGATTAACAGCGCCATTGGAGTAAAACGATAGACTGGCGAAACACGTCATGGATAGTTAGTGGAAGACGATAAATAAAAAAAACGTACAAAGTACCCAATCAAAACGTCATGAATAATTGAACGAGGAAAAAGAGTAAATACCGGCTTGCAAATACACATCACAGAATGCAAGCCCTCCTCTCCTCTCCCTACCGTAGCACGTCTCTCGATTCCAGAGATGAGTTCCCTCCCAACGGCGTCAACTTTGCTCTCTCCCTCTCCCACCCTCTCCCCTCCTCAGCTCACCTCTCTCTCCCTATACCCGATCTCCCGCAGGTACTGGTGTCTATGCGCCTCAGACGTGTACACCTGCGGTACGAGCGGCCGGAGCCGACACCGCTGGAACGCCCGGGTGATGTGACTGATGAGCAGATCAGTCTCAGCTCGATCACACAGCCAGATCCAGCGACTGTACGAGCCGTCCGGCCGCTGGAGCGCCACCGCCTGGCCGTGAAACGCCACCTGAGGAGTGATAGAAGCAGGGACTGGTTAAACCCGGAGCGAGTCACAGTGCGAGGTCTTGAGTCGAAAAGAAAAGATGCGGGAAAAGATCATATTAACTAGAACATCTGCTTATCCTCCAACTTGCTGGGGCTGGAGAGTTAACACGATTTAGGTCATGAATAACCATCTGGCAAAATGGATAACGAAATAACGAACGAAATAAATAAATAAATACCCGAACTGGGAGCAGTCGTTTCAAACAGGAAGTATCGCAGTAGCTGTTATGTATCGCATGGGTTCAGCTGAAACGGTAACCGATGAAATTCCATTTCAAAGCCGACCGTCTGCAAAACCTCCACACAATACAACTGAATCTCTACGACATGCCCGAGTCCAGCCAACGGTATTTAATCTCTTCCGTCCACCGTAAAGAAAACATCAGTCACCCAAACACCGGGAAGAGCGGAAGACAAGCAACTTCCCCGAAAACATCCAATGAAAAAGCAAACACCGCTGACATCGCAAAGCACTAAGATTTTCGAAGAAACGGACCTAGCCAGACAAAACAGATCTGGTAGAAAAAAAAAAAACAAGATGTTCCTACAACACATCAACGGACGGGGTCACGCCCCAACGCGGCTCGCCAGCAGCGATAACAAGATGTGCGCCGTGTGAGCACTGGATGTCCCATGTGGTTTTATGGATTCTGAGTAAGGTTTAATGAGAGGAAACAGATTGGCGGTACAGATAACAGAACAAGGAACAAGGAAAAACAATTTCCTGTGCGTTTACAAACTGTTGGGTAGATACCTACTATATAACAAAGAAGTCTGTGGTATGGCATATACCAGGGTAGCTTGTGATATCGAGAAAAAAAAAAATAAAGCTCCTGTAAAATAGGTACCTGAAATTCATATTCAAAGCAAAACAATTTTCAGCAACAAAAAGGCCCCCACAATGTACTAGAAGATACATAAGCCCCCGAACTCAGCAAATCCTCCACACACACCGCATCTCACCTTGATCGACGCTATGGAGCAGTACTGGAACGCCGCATCCTGCAGGTAGGGGCAGCTCTCGGTCTCTACCTCTATCTGCGCCATCTGACCCTCCGCGCCCGGTGCCAGCTGGGACAGGGGGTCAGCGGGCCGCGGCCGGCGCCGCGCCGCCCGCCGCAGTCGTCGGTATGTGCTCAGTCGCAGCAGCAGTAAACGGTAGGAGGTTAGAACCAGAAGACAGGTGCGCATCGCGTGGTGGTCGCCGAACAACACCTTGAAGCCCTGCGCAGAGAAGGTGGAGGAGAGTGGTTGATGAGTGATCTGATGCACAAGCAAGTCAGTGGTAACTTGCGCGTGATTCAGTGTATCAAAACAAATACACTTGAATATTGACTAGGATAGCACAGCTATCAAAGTGCTAGGTCTTGAGTAAAGACTTCATAAGTTTTATTTGTATTCAGTATTCACGCATTTAAAAACCTGGTGAGCGTAATAAAAAGTAGCAATGTCATCTAAGAGTCTTACTCACCGTGTAGGCCATCTCGTCTCCCTCGAAGAAGCTGACCATCAGTTGCACGGCCTTGCAGTGGTCGATTTCCACCAGTGCCGAGTGTGCCGCCCGCTTCCTGCGTCTGCCCTGACTGATCTCCTGTTCAATGTCCCGCTCAGTCTGTCCGTCAGAAGTGGGTGCCGAGCCGAGTGCCGTCGGTTCGTAGAGTCGTGTCTGTCGAACCGGCGGCCTCGCAGTCGGACCGCGCTCCGAACCAGACGACAGACAACTGCTACCGACACTGAGCTGTGATGAAACCCGTGTTAGACTGGATATGGAGGAGAGTCTGCACGGGTCCTCCTGCCCCTCGGGGACACCCCGCTCACCCCTCGGCAGCTCGGGCGGGAGCAGCGCCGCCACAGCAGCCGTCTCACGGTCAGTACCCGCCCATGTGACGCGCTTGTCCGGGGCTAGTGCAGGAGGACGGCGACGAAGGGAGACCTCAGAGTGCGCCTGGGGTAGTCGAGTGACCGCCGGGCGGGGTCGGAGAGCGGTGTTTGAGGCGGACGGGTGGAGGTGGGGTGCCGCGCGGCCCGCCGGTCGGGCGGGGCCAGGTGGGTCGGTGCGGAGTCGTCGCATTGCTTCCTCTACAGCCACAGCATCGTTGGAGCTAACTCGGCGAGAGTCTGCTGTCGGACTGAGCGGGCGGTCCTTCGGTTCCCCGGTGTTAGAGCTGGAATTAGGGTCGCTGCCGTCAAGGCGACTTTGTGCGGCGTCCTCTTTGGTTGGTGTTGGTTCCGTCGATTTACTAGGGGCTTCTTCGCACGATTGAAACCCTGTTGTGTTCATTGTTTCACTTACGGACGCTGAGGTAGATTGTGAAAGACGAGAATCTTCTGACTCGTTCGGTTGGTATTGATTTGGACTAGATTGCTGCGCTGTCGCACTCGAAGATTCGTTACTGACGGAGGTGTCAGTAGCAGTATCCTCCAAATTTTCACAGCCACCACTTAGAACCCCTCTCTGCGGATCATCCGCATTATTGCTAGCCGAACATCCCTTCTCCGCGCTTACCGCAGAATCCTGACACTTCGCCACTGACCTTGTTCCCTCAGACTGCGATTGGGACCGATCGACAACAGGCGAAGAAAGAGCAGTGACAAACAGATCTTTGGACTGAGAAGCTGACGCGTCAGGGTTCTCGTCCGAACACCCAGTAGGCGTCCCTGGATTCTCAGCCGAGAACTTGCTCGGTGTTCCTGGATTTCCAGCCAAGCGCCCAGTTGGCGTTCCTGGATTCCCGGACGGACGCACGACCGGCACAATCGGCGAGGGTGAATCTTCAGCCAGCGAGGCGAAGCTCTGTGGCGGTATGCCCGACGGTCTGAGAGGGGACGACGCGCTGATCACTGGTGTATTGGGAGCCGGAGTCGGGGTGGCCGATCCCACCACCTCTCCTCTCTCCTCCTCTTCTTGGCCTCTGCACAAACTACCACCCCGCAGTGTAGCATTCATATCCTGCGAATCGCCGCTAGGCCCGCTATCGTCGAACTCTACAGACGCTGCCGACCGCGCCGACTCCGGCGATCCTCCAGCTGTCGGCCGCGACTCTTCACTCTCGCTGAGCGGAGTCGTGACCGCCGATGACAGCGCCGAAGCGGCGGACGTCTCCGAGTCCATCGTTACACAAGCCGAGTCTGTCGGAGCGGCGTCCGAGTCGCGTCGGGTCTCTTTGGACGCGTCCCCGTGCGGGCGGCCGCCGGCCGGGCTGCGCCGCCGCCGGGAGCGTGCCGAAGAACGGGACGAGCGCGGAGACGAGCCAGAAGACGAGTGGTGCGAGCGGCGTGCCCGGCTGTGGCTGCCGGGAGTGTGCGTCCACTGAATCGGCTCCTGGCTGGGCGGCGGCCAGCGTGGTGCCACCACCTGGGAAGGAGTTGGCTTAGGTCAAGGGTCGACACTCGACAGGGGTAGATCACAAATAAAGATTAGCAGTTTCATGAAATAGCTACGCCCGTGTAATGACTAGCAGACAGTTAAAACAGGCCGGCTTTATGCACAAACATTTTGCTCGAGTACCTATCTATAAAAAACGAGCAACAGCCATCGATTCAACTCAGGAGCAGCGATTAGTGGAATGGTGACTCATGGCGAGAAACGATGCCAAGTACGTTTAGATCTGTCAGCCAGAGCAGGACAGCATGAATCAAGGCCGAACTAGGCCTAATGACTCACATGATGGCAGAGCATGTTTATTTCTTGCACTGTCAGACGAGCACGATTCCCTGCCAAGTAACACTTACCCATGATACGAATTCGCCGTCCTCGGATGCGTTCGGCGGCGGGCACACATGCTTGTCCAGATCGTACTCCTCCTGTAATAATTTGCAGGAGTTAATGTCAAACTGCTTTACAGTAAGCTACAGAGCATGTAGAAAAAACATGTAATAAAAAAACGAGAACGTAATCACACCACGAAACGACCTGAGCCAATTGAAGAACTCTATCAAAGTCAATCTTCTGCACAAAATCACTTATCATTGTCATCAATGATTCACCACTTCCACGGCCCGTCCCCAGCGTCCACTGACCGGTCTCAGCACGGTGCTGAACTGGACGGCCATCAGCTCGGCCAGCCCCAGCACCAGCTCCCTTAGTCGGCGGTCGTCCCGCAGAAACGCCTCGCGCCGGTAGTAGCGGGCCCGCTGAGCCGGGTGACCGATGAAACTGGTGAAGTAGAACTCCAGTGTGCCCTCTGAGAGAGCCAGCAGTAGCCAGGCGCGACCTGGGGGGAAAGGAGCAAGGCTGTGTGTGGTGTGGTCTGGATTTGAACACATTGACATGGAAATACAAGTAATGGATGGTGTGTAGTATACCAAAGCCGCATGGCGCCTTTATTCGTGGCCTAAAGGTTATAATACGTGACTGGCGACTCAGTGGCAGCGAGTTAGGGGCCGAGAGAGTGTTCAGCGTTCGACCAACGTTTTTATGGTAAGTTAGGACAGGGAAGAGATACTGACAGGCTGGGACGAGTGACGTATCCAGGACCCGGCGGGCTGGAACGTGAGGCCGGCTGGTTGGGACGAGTGATCGGCGGGCTGGAACGCGTGACTCATCTGTTGTTGCACGTGCTCATTTGCAAAACAAAGACTATCAAGCAGTTAACTGAGGTTATCTACTATTTTCCCCCACCAGCATTGTTGTTTTCACAGACGCTTACGTATAAGGCGGAGGGGGGGGGGGAGGGCGACCGGAGCCCAGCCGTTCTGCTCAGCCCCCGATTCAGTTCGAGCTTCGCGGAAAAACGAGCGTACCCTCGTTTAAGGTCTTTCGTCATTGATTGACCTTTCAGGTGATATCAGCGACCCAAATGTCGGGAAAATCGGGACTTGTCACTTGTCAGAGCTTCATTAACCAAGGTTTTATTGTCTCTAGGGTCTTTATTCTAAAGCTGGCATTTATTTTATTCCATAATAATGTATTTGTGAATTTAGGGTAGGTCGTGTAAGGTCAGGTCAGGTCAGGTCAGGTCAGGTAAACCAGTAGGTGTCTCACCAGTTGTTATTAGTAGGGGTTTGAAAACTTAGCAACATGTGGCATATATCAAAATTAGCTCCCAAATGCTCTAATGAGCACCAAGTTCAAAGCAGGTACAAAACCTGCCTACTTTAAAAAAGGTCATACAACTCTAAGTCAACAGAGGTCACCAATAGTCAATGGGCTAAACTTCAAATACCTTCACCTGACCTGAGACAGTTGATACCCACATTAATCCATGGGACAAGCATCATTTCACATGTTGGCATATTCCTCATCACAAAAGTCTGACAACACAATAGGTAATGTATTAACAGCATCAAATGGCCATTCTTGTGTGATATGTTCTCAAGAAAGAGGACAAAAGTTAGCTGGGTCAGGGCCATTCAATTTTCAGGGTACCTGGGAACAAACTTGGCTATTTTTGATTTACTATGTGGAAATTGCAAAAAACTTATAAAATTTCCATATCAATGAAGTTATTTACAAGCTTACAAGTTGTGATACAATTTTTATCAATGAACTGTGATGAGGACACTGATAAGTGATAAAACTAGTCCACTGAAAATGGGCATGAAAAAATTATTTGTCTGCACTGGTGACTTACTTTTCCCAGGACCAGTCACACATCCTTTCATGTCAGCAATGTAGGTGACACCAGCCTTGTGGGTGAACTCCTTGACAAATGGCCAGTATCCCAGCTTCTCATTCTTCAGCCCATGACTGCATATTTTGTCCATGCTTGTGAGGAAGTAGTGCACCTCCTCTGGGCCAAGAGGTTTAGAGCAGATCTTCACCTGAAAGTAAAATGGTCAGAGTTGCAGCACCAGGAATTATAAGACTAGATCAGGTTTCTTTTGATTAAGGCAGTTCGGAATGCAAATTTATATCACATACCCAATCAGCATTCAGCCATGTTGAAGTCATCTGTTGCACAAAGCCAAGGATCAGCAGAGTGTGAAAAAAGCAGTTATTCCTTCTGTGGTATTTATTTACTGGCATCATATTTTTTGGGGGGATAAGTGGATGATTCCACAACTTTCAATGATGTTCTGCTGTTCCTGAGCAGATGGCTTAATTTTCTATTCCAATTCAATTTTGTGTCTGGTGCGCAAACATTTACATTTACCCTAAAAACATCACAAAAATACTTCACTTTGACTTACCAGACGTAGAAGATCCTTCTTTTGGGAGTCAAATAAATGAAACAGATTTTCCAGCTCATCCATAGCTTGATTTTGTGGTCTGGGCTGGGCAGAGGTCGAACTGCAATGCAATTAACAACTCTCTTGTGCAATAAGTAATAACACTTAGCTCTGGGTACACATCAAGCTGCTAAAGTCAGTTGCTTTGACACCGTCAAGAATATTGGAGGAAAACGTCAAATTCATGGGAGTCACATCACGACGACCCAAAAGGAAAACGACGGGACGACTCAAGGGATTGTTGTTGTCGACTCCAAACTTGTCCTTTTATTTAAAGAATGTACCGAATGTACCTATGTTTACTGACAACAGTCTGCCCTGCCCCAAGCGCCCCAAGTAAATATCGGACGGTATACACGGTATACAGGGAAAGTGACCGGCTACAGAAATGCCGCAGATGTTACAAAACAGCATAGCTACCACATCCTTTGCGACCTTTTAGTTAATAACAAGATGTACTTCCTAATTTGAAAAGAACTGCTTCAAGAGCAACTTAAATTAACTTTGTAATAAATAATTTTATAAATCTTATTTGAAGAGTTTGTGTTATGAGAGTCTTTAATATAAAATAAAAGCTTCAAAATTTGTGCTGTGAAGGGAAGCTTCATCTGGCAGCGATTTCTCTCCATAGGATCTTGTTAGTGTCTGTGCACTGAGCATTCGTGTGATTGAAAATAGCATAGCGAATAGATGTAATTGTTTTGGCTCTCTCTATCGCCTGGATAAAAATAGGCCCCGCCCATCCCAATCAGCTGCTGCATGACGAGTTGATGACGACAACCACTACTTACCAGCAACCAATCTAGGGATAGCGTACGTGACAGTAATGGTGCAGCGGTTGCAAAATATTACATTGTTATTCAAACGGTTTTTGCTTTTAGGGCCTTGTTAGATGAGGATGAGGTTAGATTAGATGAGGTGTTGATGAAGGCAGGTATTTTTTTTTTAATTTTGACAATTTTTTGCCCTTGTTTTACTTAATAGCTGAACCCGGGACCACCTGAAGTCTAAACCTTATTTTATATAACATGTCAATGCTGATGCTGTCTTGAAATGTGAAATTTAGACAATGGTAATAGGAATAATGAATAGTAATTTCACCAATATCATTTTAATCTCTAGGAAGTGCAATTAAAATTAAAATCACTGTCTGCCACACTGCTCCATCCTGGTCATGCAACCAACGTTCATGGGTGGTGTTTCACGGCAGAGCACGCACTGCAGTGCTGAGCACTGCAGTGCGCTGCATGTGTCAGAGCATTGGGTTTCCATGGCAGTGTCAACAAACTTCACTGTGACGCTAAGCTATGACAGCATCCCAGAACGCTGCACGCTGCGGTACCAGCACCAGCAGCATGCTAGCAGTATTTGAACTCAAACCTCTGTTCTTGGTACGGTTTTTCAGAACCTCGCACTCTGTTCCAAACGCGATTGATCATAAACTAAGAGATCACATGCAACGTCATTTGAGTGATGCTATGGTATGCCGTAGCTACCAGTGCACACAGTGTCTGGATGGTGAAACAGGGCCATTATTAATCACATTTGCTTTGCTTTGTTTCAGCAGAAACCTGTCTGCACATGGGAGGAGCGCAACAAAAGCCCATCAAGTTCATGCATGGCAGTGGATCTCAACAGGAGAAAACCAGAAAGAACATGGATGCTTGTAGATTGCAGTTGTACACTGCTGTTATCACCTGATGTGCGTGGCTGGCATTGCTCCTGGCAAGAACCACCTGCAAGTGATGAGATGGTGCCTCAGTCGTTGAGTGTGCTGCAGTGTGAGAGGTGCCCTGATCTCTACTTTGTGATGGGTTTCCATTGGAGGTTCAACTGAGAAGTGAGAACTGACTGTGACCATGCTTGAGCATGCCAGTGGAGCTTTACATGCTTAGGGCAGCTTTTGAACAGATGCTGACCATGGCATGTCCCATCCAGTTATCACGTGCACAGAATGGTGGGGGGAGGGCAACTCTGGGCTCTTGAGTCAGCCCTACTGCACAGGGGGTACAGATGGCCGCTTACGTTTGGTGTGTCCTGCACTGCATTATCAAGCCCAGTCTGCGCCACAGGCAATGGGTCGGGCTGCACTATATTAAAGGCAGACTATCTTGCAAAGGAGGCTGGCATCCTCTCCCATAATGACACACCAATTGGCAATCATCGCTGCGATGATCACGAGGGTGTCCGCTTATCTAACATGGTGAGGTGGAGAGCTAGTTCAAGCTGGCCTGAGGGATGGTTTTACTTCATCTGAGGCCCCCTTTCCCCGCCTGCCAGGTCCGGTCAAACGACCGCTTCACAGTGAACGACTTGCAGTGGATGCCGTCCCACAGCGCAACGAGCTCGCCGACCAGAGGCGGCGGCCAAGAGGCGGCCGCGCTCCCCCAGTCGACGGTCCCGGTGGACGTCGGCAACGCCCACCGCGCGACCATCAGATCGGCTCGCGACAGCGCCGTCGCCGACTGACCGCATGACTGGTATCTGTTCTTGATGTGGGACCGACTGCCACCGCCGGTCGCGGAAGGGCATCGCTCATCGGCCATCGACGTCCGCCAGCTTCGCGTGGGTCACTGTTCGGGCTGCCACCAATACACCGAATCGGATGGAACCCTGTCGGCGAATGCCGGCGGTGCCCCGACATCGACTGCGCGGCGGCCAGTGCATCGCGTGCCGGGAGGAGGCTGGCACCCCCGATCGGTCATTGGTCACAAACCGTGTCCCAGCTCATGACTGCATCCAGCGCAGCTCTGTGAGATGTTCTGCAGCTGCTGCAGTCTGCCGCGTGTGTTGAAAGAAGAATGAACATGAGAAAACCTCAAAACTTTATGCCTATTCGTAATTGACCAGTATTGGAATAAGTTTGGATTTTGAGAATTTGTGTCCCTGTGCTTGTGCCTGTGTGGAAAGGCATGCTTTACGGTGTACCATCTCAATGTCAAATCCCGGCTGCGCTGTGCGGATTTGTGCGGCTGCTGACAGGCCACCTGGGTGCCAACGTATGTGCGAATCCGCGAATACGTTGTGTTTCGTCAGTCAGTATCGTTCTGAAAATATTGACTGCAATAGGCTATATAGCGTATGACGGTTCAGCCCAGCAGTAATAACTGACCATTGATTGGGCGAATTTTGTGTGGTGGTTCGCTAATACATAACCTAAAGAGTGTTTTGCCGGAATCGTTTAGTAGCAGAACTGACCGGAATATCAGTAGAATGCAACGGTTTGAATCGTTAATTTGTTGAAACGATTGTTCTCTGAGACCACTGTGTAACTTTTGACCTGAGAATCACCAATTATAACGACAATGGGGAAGCAGTAGGCACTGTAGAGTGTAGGCAACACTATATAGTTGGCACACTTACGGAAGCACACGACTTACGCAGTGGACATCTGCATCATGCATGTTAAGGTTTACTGGGAAGAGTGAGAAATTAGTCAGAATATAACTGACTAAGGAAAATAGGCGATATTTCCTATTGAGCTGGGGCGGAGAGGGGGAGGGGACGTGTGGTCAGCTATGCCAATAATTCATTCTCTTTATGCAGTTGTGTAAAAGGGCGTCCGTTTTTGGGTGAGACCTTCCCCATCGGCCATTTCCAAGTTAAATCGTGGTGGAGAGTCTGGAGACCTCAGCCTCGGTAGTCGGTACCCTGCGCGCTGCGCCACCTTGCGAAACATAAAGCAGCAGTCCTGACATCTACAGGCGTGACTTTTCATGAAAGCGCGGATGTGTTCGCGCTTATGCGAAGAAAATTCTTCCGAGTATGGTTGATAATGAGATTGATTGTTGTCATTTATTTATTGATTCATTGGCAAAAGTATCCTAGTAAATCGGTAAAGTAGCTTGAACTATATCGTATTTCCTTGGAAAAAAATGACGAACTCATCCTAAGACATCCAGATTATTGGATGCGTTCGTCAGTTGTAAGCAGTTCAAGTTTTTGGGAAAATTTGCTTGTGGAAAATCATAATATTTCAAAGATATGCCTATTTTCGAATAATTTATGCATTTATCTGCATTGAAAAATGATTGTAAAGCAAAAGTGCAAAAGATTATTGTCAACTTATTTTCTCAAATCACGATTTACGAACGCACAAAACTCCAGCTTTTAATTTAGTGCGTGAGCGAATTGCGGTCAAGAAAAAATATTTAAACTGTCTATATTCCTCTTAAAACAATGAAGGATGAATGAGGAAAACGCTGTTTTGAACAATTGTATATTTATTTTTTCTTAATTAAGCAAAAGTACAAAATTTTCAACTATTATTACATTTGCTCACACAAAACCCATCACTTTTTAGCATGACGTCATGTCAGCCAAATTTACTAGCGCCATCTCTGGAGAGCATCTTTCGAAACCTCCAGACGATAGAGAGAGCCATTGTTTTTGGCAAAATTGTATCCGTTTTCCCTATCAGAAGGCTGAATGATTATTTGAAGGCTTTTGATCTGAAGGATTGCAGTTTTCTGGTTGATGGGCTACGGCCTGGCCTGGCATGTACCTAGCACAAATGCCGGGCATTATTGTTATGGGCTTGGCTCAAGCCTCATGTGTTTTGTTTTGAGTTTGCAAATTGTCTGCCGGGCCTTGGTATTATCTGGACTCATTTAGTTGTTTGGCCAGCTGGCGACGTATGATAGCTATCGTTCTTCTGAATATTCTATGTCTTCATCTTCATCTTCATCTTCATCTTCGTGTTATCGGGGCAAGAGGCACGATGTCCTGTAGGGCCCGTTCTCGCCGATTTCCATAACTTCACTTAGTACTCAGTCTGTTACAGGAGTGGAGTACCAGATCGACTCCCAGTGTGCATCCAGCCTGTTCTTAAAGACGTTGACTGAGGGCGAATGTACAATTTCTGCTGGAAGCCCGTTCCAATCGTTAATACACCGCACAGAAAATGAATTCAGTCTGGCACGGCAGGTTGCACGAGGCTTCCGTAGTTTAAGTGTGTGACCCCGAGTTCGCCTTTCAGGATTCGTTGCCAGAAGCTCTGAAGGATCAGTATCAACGTGGCCGTGCAGCATCTTGTATGCGTGAATCATATCCATGCGTCTACGCCGATAGTACAGTGACGGGAGCTTCAGTCTCTTCAGCCTTTCAGGATATGGAAGGTGGCGGATGCTCACCACTAACCGGGTGGCTCTTCTTTGAACCCTTTCGACTGCCTTCTGATCAGCTCTATTGAACGGACCCCAAACAAGACTGCTGAACTCCAGGTGAGGCCGCACGAGAGATTTGAACAGAAGAGGCAGGGTAAATTCATCTAAAAAGGCGAAGGACCGGCGGATGACCGCAAGAACTTGAGACGCTTTGAAGACCGCCGTAGACGCTTGCTGTCGAAACTTCAAGATTGAGTCGACCTGCACACCCAGGTCTCTCTCGACTGACGTGTTTGTCAGTCTGTCCGACCCCATTTGAAATGAGTGGTGGTCCTTGGCTGCACCAACATGAAGCACTTTGCACTTATTCTCGTTAAATGGCAGCTGCCAAGTTCTAGACCATTCCACGAGGGCGTTCAGGTCTGCCTGCAATGTCCGCACATCATGTTCAGAAGAGATGCCTGAGAACAGCTTTGTGTCATCTGCGAACATTCGCACATTTGAAGTGACAGCATCTGGCAAGTCATTGACATAGAGCAAGAAGAGCAATGGGCCCAACACTGAGCCTTGGGGCACACCACTGCGCACAGGGACCAAATCTGACAGGTTTCCATATAGGGACACTTGCTGCATTCTGTCTTCCAGGAATGATTCAATCCAAGACAACACTCGGTCACCAATACCATAACAGCGCAGCTTGCCTATCAGTCTCTTGTGTGGGACGGAGTCGAACGCCTTTCGGAAGTCAAGGTAAATCACTTCGACCTCCGTCTTGTCCTCCAACAGGCGGCTCCATGAGTCTATAGAGTCAAGCAGTTGCGTATCACAAGATCGCTTCGGGCGGAAGCCATGTTGGTCCTTGGACAGCAGGTCATTTGACAGCAAATGGTCCATTAAACAATCACGAATGAGCGACTCGAGAATCTTACAGGGAACAGATGTGAGGCTGACAGGTCTATAGTTTCTTGGGTCTTCCTTTTCACCTTTCTTAAAGATTGGTATGACTTTACCGTTCATTGGTATGACTTCATTCCAATATTTCATGTCGTCCAGCTAATCCTGCTCAAGGCCAGGGGGGCTCGACTGCGGTTATGGAACGTGATTGGCCGGACGATGTGGAATCTCTGTCGTCCGAGAGACATTGAACGCTGGGTTAGTCTTTTATATCTAGCATTGATATATAACAAGCTTTGCTAGTGCCATCATATGGTGCAAGCTGGCAAATAATCCAGATAATATTGTGGCCCTGTCTGCCTGTATTGAGGTGCTGTGTGTCTGTCCGGTGTCATGTAATTCTTTCGGCCCTCAAGTTGTGATTGACTCCTAACAATAATTATATTTCCATTCAGATTAGGATGAACTAAATGTGCTGGAAGCATTGATAAAGTTACTAATCAGCAACCTTTGATTGCACAACGCAAGACATTTTTGATCAATCTTGATCTGCTGATGTTGAAGACACTAAAAGCTCTATAAGCTAACTGGAACACAAAATGCATGAGCTATTCAGACAAGTCCTGAATGAAAAGGATTTATCAAGGGTATGTATGATATGTGTGCTTAAAATTGATTATATTGTGCACTTTTTGATCCAGGATAACCTAGCAGTCTGAATGGGAGTGGTTACCTAGTTAAGATATTTATTTTGCCCAAAAAAGGCAATTGTGTTGTCATGCATGATGAAATAAATGAATGCAGTATCAGTGTGCTACAATTAATCCTGGTTTACAGGTTTCACCATGCAACAGGTGTAATCCAGGCTCTGGATTACACCTGTTTTGAATCCTATTCAATGCCTCTGGTACTGAAAAGAGTGAACAATTGCTGCTCCAACCTTATCAAATGATATAACTGATTTTCATATTATCGTTGGGATATGAAAATCTTGATATTCTTGACAGTGGCAAAAAAATAAACCATCATTAGTGATATCATTACATTAGGCTGTCTTTTGCTCATAGATAAATAATTGACATTTTCAACTGATAATGCCACATTGACAATAATTGACATGTGCACAGTCTCAATTGCATAATGCATAGTAGGTCAATGTTTGTCCATTCAAAACATTTGATGTGTAGGTACTTCTCTGTTTCAAAATGTTCCATAGAAATAGGTATGTTTTGTGTGTCTTAACAGTTTTGTCCTTTGAAAACCTGGCACTGAAGTCACTGAACATTTGCTTTCTCTCTAAGGCTGGGGAGCTGTTTTCTCTGGAAGATGAGCAAGTGGTTGGGGACTTGGAAGAGGTGCTGAAGAAGATCTTGGAGGTGACAAGTCGACCAGAGTTTCTCAACAGCATCAATGAACAGAGTGTGGTGGAAATTGCCATTACCAGGGTCACATCAGCCATCAGGTAATTGTGTGGGCACTGGGCAGCTCATATTGCATGTGAAACATTCCTTAGTTGTACTGCGCAGCCACCTGCCACTCCTGATGCATGAAATACCAATTGTCCAACGATGACCCCATAGCTTAGTCAGTAGAGCATTGGACTCCGCGCGGTGAGAACACGCGTCCCGGTTACAACATTCCGGGGTTAGAAGCGCGACAGGCGCTCGATGTTTATGAGCCTTCTGACGGGTATGGTTGCGGTTCGTGGCAGCTCGTAGCCAGGCGAGGTCAGTGAGGGACCGGCCGTACGCGGGTGCACGTCAGAATAGCTAGTGACATTTGAGCTAGTGACTTTTGAACTAGTACAAAACAGCTAGCAGTGGCGTATCCAAGGGGGGACCCTGGGGATCCTAGGATCCCCCCTAGAGCAAAAAAAATATTTTTTTTACTCGAAAAAAAATTGAAAACACTTTGAGGGCCCTTTTCACCACTTACATTTTTTTACATAATGAAAAATATCAATTACATTTTTAGGGACCCTTTTAGGACTATCAGAGGACCCCTTTAGGCCAACGAGGGACCTTGTAGAGTAAATTAAGGGCCCTTTACAACGATCAGGACCTTCTCAGGCACATAGAGGGCCCTCTCAGACACACAGAGGGCCCTCTCAGGCTTTCAGAGGGCCCTCTCAGGCACTCAGATGGCCCTCTCAGGCACTCAGAGGGCCCTCTCAAGCACTCAGAGGGCCCTCTCAGGCCCGAGGGCCCTCTCAGACATCTCGAAGAGGTCGAAAAGAGCCCTCTGAGCTCACAGAGGGCCCTCTGAGATAAAAAAGGGCCCTCGGAGGCAACAGAGGGCCCTACAATGCAACAATAGAGCCCACTGTGGTCACCAAAGGGCCCTCTGAGGCGAATAGGGGGTCCTTTTAGGCAAACAGAGGGCCCTTTGAGGCAAACAGAGGGCCCTTTGAGGCAAAGGGCCCTCTGAAGGGGCGAATAAAGGAACCCTCTGAAACGAACGGGGGCCAGAGCCCAGAGGGCCCTCTCAGGCACTCAGAGGGCCCCCTCAGACACTCAGAGGGCCCTCTCAAGCACTCAGAGCCCAGAGGGCCCTCTCAGGCACTCAGAGGGCCCTCTCAGGCACTCAGAGGGCCCTCTCAAGCACTCAGAGGGCCCTCTCAGACATCTCGAATAGGTCGAAAAGAGCCCTCTGAGGTCAAAGAGGGTCCTCTGAGATAAAAAGGGCCCTCGGAGGCAACAGAGGGTCCTCCAATGCAACAATAGAGCCCCCTGTGGTCACCAAAGGGCCCTCTGAGGCGAATAGGGGTCCTTTTAGGCAAACAGAGGGCCCTTTGAGGCAAACAGAGGGCCCTCTGAAGGGGCGAATAAAGGGACCCTCTGAGACGAACGGGGGACAGAGCCCAGAGGGCCCTCTCAGGCACTCAGAGGGCCCTCTCAGGCACTCAGAGGGCCATCGCAGACCCCGAGGGCCCTCTCAGACATCTCGAATAGGTCGAAAAGAGCCCTCTGAGGTCAAAGAGGGCCCTCTGAGATAAAAAAGGCCCTCGGAGGCCACAGAGGGCCCTCCGATGCAACAATAGGGCCCCCTGAGGTCACCAGAGGGCCCTCTGAGGCGAACAGAGGGTCCCCTGAGGCGAATAGAGGGTTCTTTTAGGAAAACAGAGGGCCCTTTGAGGCAAACAGAGGTCAGTGGGCCCCCTCAGACACCTCAAAGATGTCAAAAAAGCCCTCTGAGGTCAAAAAGGGCACTCTGAGATAAAAACGGCCCCCTCAGGCACCTCGAACATGTCAAAAAAGCCCTCTGAGGTCAAAGAGGGCCCTCTGATATCAAAAAGGGCCCTCGGTGGCCACAGAGGGCTCTTTCATGCAACAATAGAGCCCCTGAGGTCACCAGAGGGCCCTCTGAGGCGAACAGAGGGCCCTCTCAGCCACCTCAAAGAGGGCCCTCTGAGATCGAAGAGGGTTCTCGGAGGCCACAGAGGGACCTCTGATGCAAAAATAGGGTCCGCTGAGGTCACCAGAGGGCCCTCGGAGTCGAACAGAGGGCCCTCTGAGGCGAATAGAGGGCCCTTTTAGGCAAGCAGAGGCCAGAGGGCCCCCTCAGACAGCTCGAAAGGGTCGAAAAAGCCCTCTGAGATCAAAGAGGGCCCTCTGAGATCAAAAAGGGCCCTCGGAAGCCACAGAGAGCCCTCTAATGCAAAAACAGGACCCTTTGAGGCCACTGGAGGGCCTGCTGAGGTGATTTCAGGCCACCACATGAGCCCTACGAGGTCATCAGGCCATCTCAGATCAAAGAGGGCCCTCTCAGCCATCTCAAAGAGGGCTCTCCGAGGACTCAAAGAGGTGTAATGATGCAAATATAGGGCCCTCTGAGGGCATTGGAGGGCCCTCAGAAGTGAAATGAAGGCTATTTCAGACCACCTTGGTCCTTGAGCCGTATGACAGGCCCTCTGAGGACAAAGAGTGCCCTCGGAGGCCACTGAATGGCCCTCTTAGGCTGACTCAGGGCCTTTAAGGAGAATAGAAGGCCCCTTGGGACTATTGGAGGACCCTTTCAGGCTAACGGAGACCTTATGACGCCAGCAAAGGTCCATCTGAGGTCGATTGAGGCCTGAGGGTCCTTTAAGACCACCAGAAGGGCCCTCTGAGGGCAGGCTATGAAATAAGCATGCTTATTTTGTTTAAAGCTCAATGTTATAGCACAAAGCGATCTGCTAAGCCTTTAATGGGCTATCAGGAGCCCATTAAAGGCATAGCAAGGCTATTTTGAATACCACATGTTTTACTGCCTTGTACTGTCAAACCGAACTAGGTCAATAATTTTTCCTCTTAACCCTCGCCCGTAAACGGCGATCTGCCACCTTCGCCCATGCAGGGGGGGGGGTTGGTGCGACCCCCCCCCCCTTGGCGTTTGAAAACGGAGCGTCGTAGAGCTTAGCGGAAAAGACCAACGGATTGCTCTCGCCGAGATCTCGCGATTGGTGGTATATTTTTTGGTCCTAGGTCAACATTTGACCTACTTTTGACCGGTCAAAGGTCAAATTTTCGGAAAAATAGACTTTTTCAAATTTTCCGCGGCGATTGCGGCAAAACGGTGGGAGATATCGACTTGAAACCTTCACTATCGTGTTCCTTGATCAATTCTCTATCGTTTGGTATGTATTTCGTTTCCCTAGCTCTAAAAATGGCGCGTTGGGAGCGCCGGAAGTCGGCAAGGTCACAGTCGGCGGCAGAAATTCGAAAAATCAAAATTTAAATTTTTGAAATCTGATTGTATTTTTGGATTTGGGATGTCCATTTGCTCCCTATAGAAGCTAATATTGCTGCATATTCCCATTGAGGTGACAAGAATTAGCAAAATAGTGGTTCGGGCGCTTTTCAAAAATAGTACCGGACGCTGTTCCTCTTGTGACGTCATAGCTCCGTGACCTGACCTGACCCGGTCAAGATTCTTATACCATATGATAGCCAATACTTGCCCCAACATGCATGGGAAGTTTCATCACGATCCATCAACCGATGTCCGTACCACCGGCAGGAAACCTCGGGCGTTGGCACTCAGTTTGTGAAAATCCGGCCGGAGGCTGTTCCCTTTGTGACGTCATAACTCCGTGACCTGACATGACCCGGTCAAATTTTTTTTATCAAAAGATGCGCAAGGCTTGCCCCATAAGGTACCCAAAATTTGGTGGCGCTGCGCGCCGCCGTTTTTGCACTATTTCCGAAAAACCTCAGGGGGGGTTGCACCAACCCCCCCCCCTACATGGGCGAGGGTTAACCCGCGCCCCGTTGGGCTCTGCCGAGCAACGCGCCCTGTTGGGGGGTGGGGGCATTTTGGCCCCCACCCTAAGATCTCGAGAACCACGCAACCTAGCGACAAGCGGCAAACGGTGTTGGATAGCCCTATCAGGGAACTACCTTGTGACCCAATTTTATTGACCTAGGTCAAACTGATGACGTCACAGGTCAGGTCAAAGGTCCAATTTTCATCGTTTACAGGCATTTCAAGAAATGCGTTGTAAAATCGAGTAAAATGCATTTCATTGAAAATCATCGATGGGGAAATGTTCTTCAAACACATATTTTACTATTTGAGGTCACTGATACCAGGTCAGGTCACAGAGGTCAGGTCACTGGGGGGTCACAATATGAAAGTGTCGTGTGATACATGTTTTATGGTCTATTTTACATGACAAATGCGATTATGTGGGTCAGGCAGCCTTTGGGGCCAGCTTAGGTCACGTTTCGGTCAAGGTCAGGTCAAGGTCAGGTCAAGGTCAGGTCAAATTAGGTCAAATTTCAAAGTAAATATTTTTGCATATAATGGGTATCGAATCGATGCAGCTCGTCACGGGGAGTTCAATGGTGGTCTTTGTTTTGCCGTACGTGGTCTAGAATAGCTAAAAATTGAGTTCAAAAATTTGACGTCATAATTTTTGAACAGTGTTTTCTCTATAACTTGGCCAAAAAACGAGATATCGATCTGAAATTTGGTATGTACATAGAAGAGCGCAGGGACTATGACATTTATTCCGGCTTTTTTGAAATTCGGAAACATTTTGGATTTTTTTTAGTTTTTTCTAAAAAAAAAATCAAATTTTTGATTTTGTTTTTGGTCAAAAACCCAAAATTTAGAAAATCCGAGAAAGCTGTTTTGTAGCGCCGCTTTTTGTCTACTAGACCATATAAAGAACTTTGAAATTGCTTGATAACTGTAGATTTGGTAAACGTTTCAAGATTGCATGTTTTTTGCTCATTTTTGCTCGAACATGACCTCAGTTTGACCTCAATAACTCCTGACCTAAGGTGACCTAATACTTGAAATTTGGTGTGAAGGTGTCAAATTGATGCCCGGGAAGGTACTGAAAATTTTTCAGGAAAAACCACAGGGGGGGGGCAAATGGCCCCCTCCCCCAACGGGGCGAGGGTTAAAAAAGCAGCCGGAGTCGCCGCCTTTTTTTAATGCTCCGGCTCTGGCTCCGGCTCCGGGCTATATTCTTTC